CTTCAAGGAAATGTAAGTTCATTGAAGTTCCACATACCAAAGCAATCTAGAATTCTGATGAAAATTCAATACTACAAACGGTCTCTTGATTAGAAATTGGTTTACTAAAGTTTACAAAGGGAGACCAGTCGAGACTTAAATTAAGTGTAAGAAAATCAGAACTGTTGTTAATCAAACAACTAGTTTACAGGGCACCTTTGTGTGTCTCTTTTAATATAGTAATACGATGGTTATGAGTAGACGGTCATTTTTTCCGGTTTTTTTTTGTTTTCCCGGGAAATTGAATACAAATAATCGAATCTAGTTAAAAGTGTCAAAATTTCAATTTGCAAATTGAATTTGCATATTTTCAAATGCAAACTAAATCATTTTTTTTTTTGTAATATTTCTCATTGCAACAATGGCTTACCCAAGCCATTCGTAATTTACGTTTTTGGAGCGTCCAACCAACAACATTCACACCGACTGTCCCACATCAAATATTCAAAATCCGATTCCCGTCCCATGAATGATTCACCGTTGTCCCTGTACCCACGTACCCTTATTTCAGCTACCCTCGTCCGTCGTCTTTGCTTATTTTTTTATATACTTCGCTTTCGCTCAACGCTTTTGCGACCTAATAATACCGACTGTAAATATTTAAAAGCCAACCAGGTAATCAAACCTGGTGATTGATCCTATCTACAGTCGCACTTTAACACGTTCATTCCCTCACCCTTTATTGATTATTATTGAATTTATGCAATTGTTTGATTTGATTTAATTATCCTTTCTAGTTTGTTGTTTATCAAATGCAGAGGTACACGTGAATAGACTTCGGGAACTGCAATTCTCATACCGCAAATCGTAAGCGGATTGCGTGTGTGCTATACTTTGTATTTGTCGATATATATTTAACGCTATTCGTTAGACTGATTTAAGGGCTTCCATAAAATTAAACTTTCCTATTTACTAAGGTTTCTTTATTGTGTATGTTAATTGCACTGATTATTTGATTTATTGAAAGATCATTAGGTAATCAATAATTTATTAATTCAAATGAATCACTCATTTTATCACTTGTCAATAGGTAAATTTTGGTGATTAATTCTATTCTTTGTAATTTTAATTGATGATTAATGTGTTTGATCGAGTAAATAAAGTAAAATTCACTAAAAGTTTGTAAAGCTATTCATTTAATGATTTGATCTAGTAAATGATTATCAGTGACTATTGACAATCACCTAATAGCTTACACCTCTGCGGATACATACGTTTGTCTATTGATTGACACAAAATAATGGATAATGGATTAATTGCACTGATTATTTGATATATTGAAAGATCATTAGGTAATCAATAATTTATTAATTGAAATGAATCACTCATTTTATCACTTGTCAATTTTGGTTTTGTTTGATTGTGTAAATAAAATAAAATTCACTAAAAGTTTGTAAAGCTATTCATTTAATGATCTGATCTAGTAAATGATTATCAGTGACTATTGACAATCACCTAATAGCTTACACCTCTGCGGATACATACGTTTGTCTATTGATTGACACAAAATAATGGATGTGTTGAAGCAAAGCCCTTTTGGCGTACTCCCATGGAAACTACACCTACAGGTGATGTTCCGTTAATTACGTACAACATTGTCACATTTCAAATCTGAAATCAGCGCCTCTTTGTCGCGCCATCCCGAAATAGCCAATTCCATTGATGAGGACGGCGGCATTGCGGCGAATTTCCGCAATCACGATTAAATCCAAGCATGTGAAATATTTGTTTCAGGCGTACACTGAAAAAGATCGGACAATTTCGCAACTGAAATATGTATCGAGAGGCGGCTTCGCTTGAACAAATGAAAACAAAAAATAAAAACGCAGAGAACACTGAAAAATAAATTTCCAACATAAAAAAAAGTCTATAAATTGCGCATAGATTGGACTTTGATGTGAGCGCGAAATGTATGTGAACGACAATAAAAAAAAACAAACAATGCACGAAAAAAAACAACACGTATAGGGTTGGATGTGTCAGGAGCGGGATAGGAGCATTTTGCAGTATGCAAATGTACGTGTCCTGGAGGGAGAACGAGACGGAGAGAAAATGGAAGAAAAAATGAGGAGGAAACGTTGTTGAATTATTGTTTGGGGCTAATTGTGCGATACTTTATACGCTTTATTTTCGAAATACGCGATTCGACTCTAATGGACGTCGCACGCGAGGGATTAATTCTACCCCTGGGTTCCGCTTGTTCCACAAATCGCGCATTACAATAAATCGGCATAGAGCTCAATGTAACAATTATACTCTGATTGATCAAGCATTCTATCTATCTATAAAATATACTAGAAAAAAAAATATTTACTTTCCATTGTATAATCTATAACCAAATTGTAGAACCTGTATAACATTGCTCAACAAATATTATGAATTATAACCAATTAGTTTACATTATGACTATGATTAATATAACTATTTAAACTTTGACAACTTTTATGAAGTATTTCTAGTGTTCTCAGAAAATATAATAGATTGAATGGATGCATATGATATCTGGATGTTTGAGGTATGTAGCGAATTTGCTGTGGTTTCATCCATTTGGCTATAATTGAAAAAATGAAAAATTAACTCCCGGAAAAAAGGATTGAATTCACATTTTAGTGATTTTCTCGGAAACTATAATAAATTGAATGAATTCAAAAGATGCTGGATGTTTGGGGACTACTGTTATGTAAAGAATCATATATTATATAATGTATTTATTAATGCATATATAACATAAATAATGAGTCACAATTATATTTTATATAATGTTACTGTGAAGAACTAATGGAATGTTATATAATGCTTCCATAAAGCAAGCAATTCATCTTCAACTTTTACGTAGGAAAATGGAGTTTCGGATAGACACATACTATATTTTTGTCATATGGCCAATCAATTTCTGCTATTAATCACTCAACTTGACAACTTCTCTCGTGTGTCCATCGTAAAGCTCATTTCTTACACCACCTTATTTCTCAAGAGATTCTTATCTAATAATATATGAACTATAGGCGTATAGTCGTAATAATAATAGTTATTTTTTGTAATTATTTTAACTTGTTACATTCTTCTTCTAAACAATGAGATTTCCTTAATATTAAACTAGCGGCATCCGGTCTCAGAAGTTATTTTATAATTAAAAGTAAATAATTAAATTAGATTAAATAATTTTAATAATGAATAGAATTATTGGTTGTAAGCATGTACTTTTGTAGTCTTTTACTGTATTTGTATTTGTAATATTTATATTTCCAAACCAAAACTAAATGATTGGTAATTTTAACTTTATATTGATTTAATATATTATTAATATCATATTTAATTATGTTAGGAAATGCGAATTACATGTGATTCAGAACGCAGGAAGTAGAAATAGAATTATACCGGATGGATTGAAAAGGAACGGGAATTAATTTAAATGCAGTTATTGCGGATGATCCTGAAATGATTTGCAGTCAGTTCGGAGAGCACCGGTGGGAAATTTAAATGAAATTAATGAATGCAAATGAAGAAAAAAGAAGGTGCGCTTTTTTCTTCCTTTCTCGCATCTTCGCGCCGCCTGGAAAACATACATTTCCTATAATTAAATTATGGTATTCCAATTAGAGCAGTGTCGGAAATGAAAGATGTTTTCATATTAAATTGGATACTATTATAGCTTGTTGAAAGGTGTCGGTTCGCTACTCTCCTCGCAGTCGATTATTTCGCGGGGAAACTTGAAACGGCGTGGATAAATAGCAAACGTTGCCCATTATTTATGAAAGATGGTCTTCGTGAGGTCGTTCCTTGCTATTATCTAGATAGAGCTGAGATTCTTTTGCAGCCGTTCCCGTAATGACCTAGCAAACTTGGTCAAAACACAATCGCATCCAGAGAAATGGTCCCAGTTTTCTTAACGCATGTTTCACCGGCTTCGCAATCAATTTCGGACGCAACTTAATTAAAGCGACCTATTGATCAGTTCGCTTGCTATCATCAAAGTTATCTATCTGTTAATTGACGTTAATGTGTGACGCCATGTCGTGTACGCGATAGGCCATTCAATTTATTGCATAATATTTTATAGAAAATTCGCGGCGCAGCGTGCAATAAATTATGTATATAGAACGTGCACCTATATCCTATTGATCGTAATTCAATTGTTTTAACCGCAAAATAATAAAATTCAATGTTATACAAAATTTTGTAACTCAATTTGATTCAAAGTTTATTAATATTAGGTAATGTAAATATATTATTTTGATATTAGAAAATTTAAAAAAATATTATATAACTTGAGTTGAAGCAAATCTTTAATTAAGTTTATGAAAGAAATATGTATCAAAAAAAAATTCATTGTTGGATGTAAGTAAATAATCGATGTTTCGTTTCCTTTATTCGGTTTTCTTTTGTTGCGCGTGGATTTCAGGGTTTGTGTAATTTTATAAAATTTCCACTCAAATGGATAGATTGTAAGTCAGTTCAGTGTTGTATAGAATGTCGGTAGATTTTGTGGAGCGTGCCGATGCCGGGAGAATGAACTTTCTCCGACCCTCCACCAAACGAAACTATCGATTCTCATCATATCGAAAATAACCAAAGCACACTTTCTATCCTTCAGCCTGAAGTGTTTAGATAATTAGTATCTTACACGTAGCATAAGCAATCCGCAATCACCTGTAAATACTGAATTCAGTAATGCGGCGTTATTTATCAAACGGCCAGACATGCTATTCGGTCCGACTCAAGGATTTATTGTGGCCGCGGTAATTGCCCGGGGAATAATATATAATTAATTGGCTTTAGCATTGTCTGCAAGCACTTTCCCTCCATCATTGTTCTGAAATTGCTACAAATGCGGGAATCAAAAGACTCTGTTTGTTTTATATTTAATTCTTCTCTCCTTTTCAATTAACTTCAAAGGTTTTATGATTGATTGCGCGAACGAAGAATAACGTTGAGATTTTTTTTCTTTTTTTTTTTTGCAGGTATTATTACAAGCGGAGGAGCCCGAATGGTCGGCGAAAGACTGACGAGCAGTGGTACCCGACTGGATGTAATCTCACCGGTACAATCAGCCCCAACGACTGTAGGACCCAAGTCTAGTACTGAAAGTGTTCATAGAGCCCTTATGTCTGTATCTCGACAGAGCCTTTTAGGTAATTTCAAAAACATCAATTCTTTCTTTATGCACGTAGCAGTGTGTCGTACTCTTCCAGATATAGTAAGTTGTAAATTAGGTATGTCAAAGACCAGGCAACCAGTGTATAGCAATCCACCACGGTACTTCTCGGCATCGCACGATAGTTTGGCGACGTCTTATGGAACGAGGGCAGCAAACGTCAGTTCAGCAGCCAGCGAACTGGATCTGTCCAGGAAAGCTAGACGGAAAGACCTACGAGGTAGATTGAAACTGCCGACGAACGTGGCTCTAGCGAGCTCCGGCGAGGCTCCGCTCCTTGGAGGTTGGAGAACTACGCCTGGATCGACTGCCGGAACGAATCCACCCTCATCCAACCACCTTAACTCCACGAGCAGCTGTAATGGCACAGAAAGGTAGGATCAGTCTGCGGATCTGAAGCGAACGCGTTTCATAATAATCTTCTCGTTCGTTGTTCGCAGTCGCTACGGTTTTAGAAGAGGGGAATCCATAAACTCGAGATTCAGGACGGGGGCGGCGAATTGGTCCTTCGTCTTTGATCCTGCGGGGAGGCTGTGCTACTATTGGTCTATGATCGTCTCTTTAGCATTCCTTTATAATTTTTGGGTTATCATATACCGCTTCGCCTTCCAAGAAATTAACAGTACGTGCGACACAATTTATAAAGTGTACAACCTAATAATTATCCGTTTTGTTTTTCTTTCTGTTTACAGGGGAAACAATACTGGTGTGGTTTTGTCTAGACTATTTCTCTGATTTCTTGTACTTGATAGACATAATGTTCCACTTTCGTACGGGTTACCTGGAGGACGGTGTTTTGCAGACGGATTCGACAAAATTGCGCAATCATTACATGAACTCGACGACGTTTTATATTGACTGTTTGTGCCTGTTACCATTGGACTTCCTTTACCTGTCGATCGGTTTCAATTCAATCCTACGCTCGTTTCGGCTGGTAAAGATTTACCGTTTTTGGGCTTTCATGGATCGCACGGAGCGACACACGAACTATCCGAATTTGTTCAGGTCCACCAGTCTGATCCACTACCTCCTAGTTATATTCCATTGGAACGGTTGCCTGTTCCACATCATTCATAAAAACAACGGATTCGGTTCTAAAAACTGGGTGTACAGTGACGCGGAAAGTGCTGACGTGGTCAAACAGTATCTACAAAGTTATTATTGGTGCACACTAGCGTTAACGACTATCGGTGACTTGCCTAGACCAAGAAACAAATCGGAGTACCTATTCGTCATTCTTCAGCTGCTCTTCGGGCTGATGCTGTTCGCAGCAGTGCTGGGACATGTTAGCAACATCGTCACGTCCGTCTCGGCTGGCAGGAAGGAATTTCAAGGTGAGTCGATGCATCTCCAACCGCTTTTGCTTCTTTTTTTCGTTACATACTTATTCTCTTTATTTGTCTGGTTTCTCGACACACTCATAGTTCATTGCGAGCGCCTAGATTTTCCATTAAGGCACTGCCAATCTGCATATTTCGAAATATGTACATCTAATCCATTTCGGAGCCTGTACTCCAGAGCGGCGGCCCACTGCTAAATCCTTATTTGAATACGAAAGACGTATACCGATCGGCAGATCCTTGTGGAAATCTATTCGCTTTCACTGCAAAGCACACAGCAGCCAGCCTGCTTACGGTGCCATAAGCGCAACAAACATCGACGAAGGTATACATATTTATATAATATTATACACACACACACACATTCTTCTTTACCTTTTACGTAACCTCAAGATATTGCAACAGCATATTAACATTCTTATTAAAAACGGTTTACTTTAACACCATTAAAAAATGAAATGAAATCATAATTTAATAATTTGATATTATTATTTAGTTTAGTTAATAAACTGACGTATAATAGGAATGGTCAAAACTAGTTCTCTGAAATTCGATTATCTTAATCCTATTACTGGATGCATAATCTAGTGAATGAAACTAAATCATTGAGCGTGTAATGGGATAAGGAGAGAGAACGTGTTCGATGTTTGTTGCTTCGCTTTGGAAACGGCGGCCTGCAGATAAATAACTAAATAAAAAAAAAATAAAGAAGCTCACAAGAGTTGGCGACGTCCGTCGCGACGCACCTCTGATTCATAATGATAGAACAGCAGGTTGCAAAATCCCGTGCAGACTGGAGTAGGCGTCGCGACGGCGGCCGTCGACCTGGACGACTGTTTACATGTATTTAATGACATCATGAAATTTATTAATGTTCGCAGACAACTCGGCAATATGTGAGTAGGCAAAATAACGTAATATAAACGTTTCACACATCGTTTTCCCACGACATGTGTAATGATTATATTATTTCCAAGTTTTCCTTTGCTCTGTCTTTATTTTTTATTTTCTATCTAATTATTTTAAGTTTTTTTTTACTGTCGTCTCCGATGATTTCATCATTTTCGTTACCATTATTTACGTTTCGTTGATTAATTTTTTATTTACCTCTTTATTTGTGGTGGTTGCGTTGTTGATTATTGTAATTTTTATTTATTAAATGTTGTTTGTCGAGTAACATACAGTTTTTTGGACAATGGCTTTTGTGTAGGAACCTCGTTGAAATACTACATAATAAAACGCTATGTACAATGGCCCAGGCAGTGTGATTCAAGTTACCTACCAGAAACGGAATAATTACATTAATGCATAGAACAACAGAGCCATGCACATAGAAATATAACATATATATGTACATATGCACAAGCATTTGTGTGTATGCACATTGTATCTATTGGTATGCGTATTGGAAATATGTGCAGGAATTCAATTTCATTACAGAATCACGCTGCCTCTTGAAGAACGTAATAAACTAGCACTCATTTCCTCCTATATTTTAGTGTGTGTACTTAAACCTCCGCAAGAGCCCCCCCGCAAAACACGTCGTAAAGCTTAATAAAACATGTTTTACACTAAATACCACACAAAAAAAATCCCTCTTTTAATTTATTTAATTTATTTTTTTGGTAATGTTACGCTTGATACTACTATTTATTATATATTATAATTTAATTACTTATAATAAAAATTATTGAATCTTTCACCCCGTCCAAAACCCTGGCATGCAGCAACATGCATTTTGAACTTTTTTTTTTATTTACTGTTAATTAGTCAGGAACCAGCTTACATTGCGGGGGGATGTAGCTAATTAATTATGATATTATAAATATGTATAAATTTAAAAGTAAACAACAAAAACAGGTGTTTGTATGCGTAGGAGGTGGGTATTTAGAATATATGCACACATATGAATTGCGCGTATGCAGATTAGTCGCACGAATACGTAATCAACCATTATGAAACAATATAATTCGAAGCGCGTTAATTAATTCATGCGAACTGCGATCGATCGAAATGCGTTGTACGAACTCCGATGTAAGTATATTGCGGATGCGCCGGGCGCCAATGCCAATCTACTTACTAAACACATTTCGAATAGCAGCAATACGTGTTTCGGTGTCTTCGAAGTAAGAAACCCTAACGAAGTGATTAATTATTTAAAGATAATGTACTTTAACTAAAGTATTATTTAATTATGCCATTAAAATCTAGTCTTGCGGACTGGTGCTTCTGTGGTTATATTCGAACGGATCTCGGTTTAATGTTCGTTTCGATGAAATATGGGAAGCGTAGCGAAACCTTATTTGCGGTTGTAAAAATTATTACTATCCTTCGGATAATAGTATCATCTTTTCCAAGAATTATAAACGATCAATAACGATAATATATAAAGTTACTAAATTTGTTTAATTTTGGTGGAAATAAAATTCATTAAAATTTGATGTTAATTTTAGTCTCTTACCAATTACAAGTACTAAATTTAAGATTTTTTTAAACTATTTCAAATTATTCGTAGTTCTATTTTTGTAGGAATGTTTAATAAGTTCATTCATTAAATCTAGATATCAAATAACCACGTGGAGTACCAATTTAGATTAAATTCTAATAATAATGAGTGTTGGGATAAGAAAATCTGTTTTATCTTTCGTTTCTCTATTTAAGTTTTATGGTCTTAACATAAATCTTAAGTTAAGACATTTTTTTGTATAAGGTAAAAATTTCATAGCATCCTCATTTTAAAATTGGTAAAGTTTTCCAATTCGTAAAATTTCCTTGAATTTTCAGTGAAATGACTCCTCAATTTGCAGAATAAAAAAAACAATGGGGAAATTAGTCCGATTCTGGAAATCACTTATAAGTTCTTGTGGTGTCTTGCAGCGAAATTTTAGTGAAAAATAGATGAAGCATTGATTTGTATTGAATTGAGTATAATAAGATAAAATGAGTGAAAATATGAATGAACTAAACTTTCATAAATTTTGTATTCAGATTTGATATACGTTATTGGAGCAATTAATTAATTGGCAAAAAAAAATAATGTTGTTGTAGTAGATGTTGAATTATTAGCAATTTGATTATCGTTCAGTGAACTAAACTCCCTATTTGTTGCTATAGCGATGGTATCTATACGGGATTTCAGGACTTAGCACTATGCGTTACAGTGTATGCATGTAATCTCGTAGTCATAATAAACGTCATTGTATCGCATTATACAACCGAGGCAATCCGCTTTAATTGTTTAATGCACAGATATTACCGAACTTTTCATTGTTTCATACAAAACAATGAATTGTCGACGCCTTCGTTATGAGGTCATTAAGACTAAATAGCGAAATCTAGGTGGGCGTCGTACACAGCGAACTTTATATATTCACCGAGATTAACCGTCGGCAAAGTTACATCACTATTACATCTGCTATTTATAATATGCGAAGAGCACGTTTTTTGCTGTTGTTGTTGCTGTGTATTCCACTTCCACTAAATTGCTGGAAAGATTCGTTAGCTAACGAAAATAATATTAATATTCAGACACAGGCACGAAATTGCGTTTAATTCACGTAAATCTTCTTTCCCTCTCTGCATCCTCGTTCTGTGGCTCCTCGCTACGATCCGTTCATCCCTAATTCTTCTGGCGCTTTTCCTCTTTCGGGATTTGTTTGATACGCGAATGGAATGTTTAAAATTATATTGGTTTTAATATGTCAGTCGTTGGTTTTCGCAGCAACGGAATTTAATTAAACCGTTCCAAAACGAAAGAAGAATACCGCTTCGAATACAAACCGCAATGCATATGCTTGTATCAAATGATATACACATTTTCCGTCTACGATACGCTGTGAACGTGTTCCCAAACTTATAGGAATTCTTCGAAATAAGGTCTCTTGTTATCGCAGTAAATCACAGGATGTGTTGGCTCTTTGGCTGCACAGCTCGTTGCGAGATGATCAAAAGATCTTCCTCGGTCCCTTTCATTCGTAACTTTATGATTGTATTTTAAACGACTCAACTTACTATTTTCAACAAATGCTCCGTAACACGCAAGAAGTTTCGTAGCTTCGTTACTCGCGTGGCGTCTGACAATCTATATTAAAATCACTAAAATTAAATGGTAAAGTAAAATATTATAAAAACCATTACTATGAATATTTTGCTGTTAATCCTTCAAAGAATTGTGTGATGTTCTTTTACAAATCGTTCAGTATGAAGAACGTACATATTCTAACAGACACCGCGCGAGTTACGGATGGTTAATTAATAATCATTTCATAACATCAATTAATTTCCTTAAAATAAACTTTGCATTGTTTATTTAATAACTTAATTAGTAATTATATTATAAAAAGTAATCAAATTTGTTAATCACGAAATAATCGCGAAAAGTTTGTCATAAAAAGTGTATTTGAACAGAAGCAAACACGTCTGTAGAACCTTACTTCTTCTAAATAATCCTGGGGTACAGATGTTGCGGCCGGGAATTGTTCGGAAACTTCGCATAGCAACATCCAAATTCCTTAAATACTGTTTCAACTTTGTCGAATGAATGATATTTCTTGCATTTATACTTGCCTTCCAAATTATTGGGAGACTTTTTTTACTACAGTTTTTGTACAGATCTTAATTAAAATTATATTAGATATACATTTATATCCACTAGTTAATCTTTAGATATAAACCACAATTACATCATTTCAAACTTTATCTTATAAGAGTGTCAAAATGTCAAGTAAAATACAAAATAAGTACATAGTTTTGTCACCATGATTGATTAATTTAATACTTTTATATAATTATCAAAAATATTAATAAAAATTACTCGGAATGACCTACTTTTTGTGTGTGTAACTATTTATTATTGTTAAGAAGTACTGTGTCAGCTATAATAATGAGCGATCCTTTGTAACAAGAATATATTACAGGTCAAAAAACATGTTTAGTTCACCAAACTTCATTGCTGAATTTGTACTGTTTTGATCTCTTTGTTCGCGTGTTATCCAATGGCAAATACACATCACCCTTAACCTGAATAAATAGTCCGAACATGTGGAATTGAAAAATATATGCGAGTGTTTTCACAAATAAATCGTTATATAAATCGGTAAACTACGTTTACATTAGTGAAAACTTGAATATTATTATATACAAAACTAGTTGCATAAATATTATTGTTAATATATTTTTCGATAATCATAATTTGAAGACAATTCAATATTTTCAACAACTTTTAGATATGTCACGTAGATAGTAAATGAGTAATAATGGTTTTCCGTTATCAATATCTAATAGCATCATATATAACATTAGTTAATCCCCTCATATATAAACTGTATAGTCTGCATAGCCACAAGATAAACTCCAACTAGATTTAACTCAAGCTCCGGGTTTACCATCACTTTATCATCATATCGGATACACGTAACATCAATATTATAAATATATGTATTTATCAGTACATTTATTTTTAAATAAGACATGCAGATTTGTCAATACTACTCAAATTTACTTGGGAGTATTGAATTTTATTATTTATATACGCCAATAAACTATAATCAAAATAGCAAATCATTAACGTACGTAACTAACTAATATATAAAGGTGAAGATTCACTAAAGTATAAGTAAAAGGTTGTAACCTGGACGAAACATTAACCCTTTCCAGACGGACCCATAAGGCGGATATATCGAATCTTTGAAACTCATGCAAATATATAAATCAAATAAACATTATTTTAGAATAGAAATTAAGTTGTAATCATAAATATTGTCTAAATAAGATAACAGTTAGAAATGTAACTTTTATTATGGACTGAAGAGATTTATTTTAAAAAATATACTGATTCGTTAAGTTTGCCGTTTCTTTTTGTGTTTGGTGCAGTGGTATAATTCAATATTAAAAGCCT